TTTTTTTTTTTTTATTTTTTTTAATTTTAAAACTTATTTTTTGTTTTTTTTTTTTTTTTTTTAAATGTATTGAATATATAACAAGCTCAATGTTCGGTGTAACCATATTGGTTTGAGATGATTATGGAGGGTGATTAATCAGCTGCTGAGCAACATTCCAGGAATATCTGGAAAATTTGCTCATCCCCTGCTGCCCATTGTATTTACATTGTGATATACAAGCTGTAAGAATAGATGTTCTGCACACATCTGCTCCAGGGAAATGCAGCAGTAAAGAGATTGTAATATAACTCTTCAGTTACATTTTTCCTTCTCTTACTGCTGGTTTGTGACAATATACCCTGTGTTAATTGTTCACTCTTGTTGCAAAATCTTAGTTGCACATAATTAACTTGAAGCATTAAGCAGTCCCGTTTACTTCAGTGTGACTGCTCACATGAATAAAGTGGGGGGTAGGAAGGAGTTCAGAAACTGCTGTTAAAAAAAAAAAAAAAAAAAAAAAAAGCCCTCTGTGGTCAGCTTTGCAGCAGTGACTCACTCGCCGCTGGCCCCTCCCCCCCCGGAATGTGCACAAAGGTAGGAAACCTGGGTGGGACAAGTCTCTTGGCTTCCAGCACCCACCCTCCCTCCCCTAGTGCTGGCAAATGGCAGGCTGGGTTAGGACCTGCTGTGGGCTTTACGCTAGTAGCCCCTTTTAAAGGGGGGCTAGGAAGGAATTTTTCCTGCACCACCACAATTGGCTTCGTTGGAGTGTGGTTTTTTCACCTTCCCCACAGCGGGTGTGAGAGAAGACCTTTTCTGGTGAGAAGAAAAGGTGGTAGGCCATAGGTTGGGTGGATGTTCAGTGCAGGTACTCCATAGGGAGGGCAGCCAGCGATCAGATAAATGGCCTGGTAAAGGACTTAAAAATAGGTACTGGATAATGGAACAGAACGGGGGAGGGGGTTGGGGACTCCTATGATTGGTATGGCTGGGAGCCAACCCCCTCTCTCCTTCTCCCTCCCCCCCATTCTCATACCCCTACTTACGAGGGTGGTGGATGGTAAGGTCCAAGCCAAGGGTCGGCTGGGGGACCTGGATGAAAACAAGGGGGGCTGGTGGAAGCCCCAGAGAATTGATTTGAATAAGCATGGATTTGCCTGCACTGTACACTTTATCTGCCAGGTAGTCCCAGACATCTATATAATAAAGTTGCGGCCTGATTAAAACCCATAACAAGTCTCCTGTCCTTCTTGCAGTGTACCTTAGTGTAATTTTATGCAGCACATTTTGGGCAAATAGCATAAGCTAATAAATAACATTCATGAAAGGACACTAAATGTTGGAGTGTGCCAATATGTAGTGTGCAGGACCATTTGGGTTATAGGTATGATCAGTGGTTATATTTATCCCCCATTTCACTCATCTCCTTTAATGTTTTGAATGAAGTCAGGCAAATATTTTTCTAAGAATCTGCTCTTGAAGTTTACAAGAATGGAGTCCTTCAGAAAGCAGCATCTTATTGCTTGAATCTGAGAACTCAGGTTGGGGTAACAGATTAGGAATAATTTTACTGTGTGTGCGTCCCTGTGAGTATGGAGTAAATGAGTACACCGCATTGTTGCATAGTTTATGCAGAACCTTCTTAGTGAGTGTCTTACTGTTACGTTATTTGCAGGACCCTTGGCAAAAGTAGGTCAAATTGTTGGCTTGTCACCCTTAACTGTCTGTTTCAAAGACATCAATTCAGATGTGATATACTGACAAAATCCTTTTGATTCACTTCCCTTCTTTTCATAGGCTAGTAATCATGCATTTTTCCCATTTGTGGTTTATACTCTTAGTCTTGTATGGACTATATTGGTCGGCAAAATAATTGCAACCAGATGGTGCTGCTCTTCCATCAACATCTTTACAATAGGAGGAAGAAAAGGCCCCTTTCTAAGTTTTGAGTTGGCTTTGTTTTACGCTGGGTTAAAATGTGACTACAGATGAACTAGTAAGTGTAGGAAAGTTTCATGGGTTTTTACTTCGATAAACATGTAATTTTTATGTAAAATGAAAACAAACAGCCAGTAAAACTGCTTTGCACTACTACAGAGAATGTTGTAAGTCATCATGGAAAACTGATTAGCATCAACACAAGATGCTCAGAAAAGACTTACATTTTACATGGCTATTTACAGTGGGGAAAATATGAGAGGCAGTTGTCTGTCTTCAGACAAATGACAGTAGAATCAACATTTTACATATTACTTTTTGACCTTCATGCTTTTTACACCCTTCTTTGAAATAAGGGTAATTATTGGAGGTGTGGGGGTGCGCGTGTTTTTTTTGAGTTTCTCTTGGGGTCTGATCCAACTACCATTGAAGTCAATGAAATGGGTTCCCATTGGTTTCAATGGGAGCTGAATTAGACGTAGATTCACAAAAGGTACTTGGGCACTCAAGTCCCACTTCTAGGCTGCACTGCGATTCACAAAACTCCTGCCTAAACTCACTCTGTACCTATATTTTCAGAGTAAAAGTTTCCTCAGCGCCTAAGTTTTTGCCTTTGATCACACACTCCGTTGCCTCACTCTGGAGGCCTATCTTCCACCAAAGGCTAAGAGCAATTCATGAGCCAGGAAAGAGGTGTTCAGCCATGTAAGTCACGTGTGGGGTCTGATTCAGTGGGCAGCCTCTGAGTACACCTACAGGGGTTGGGTCTTATTCCAAATATGGCTGCTGGGATGTGGTGGTGGAGGTATCCACCTTAAGTTTTAGCCCAGAGATTAGAGCACTCATCTGGGATTGCGGAGACCCAGGCTCAGTTGCCCCTGCAGGCAGAAGGGGAGAAATGATCTCAGTGGGGTCTCCCACCACTCAGGTGAGCTCTGTAACCACTGAGCTATGGGATATTCTGATATGGGGTTCCTTCAGTCTCTCCTGTTGAAACTGTTCCATTGTGGATAAAGAATGAATTATTGGAGCAGGGTACTGGACCCTGGGTCTTCCACCTCCCAGGTGGGTGCCCTAAGCACCAACTACAGAGTAATTCTGTCTCTTTTTTGGCCCAATGGCACTTTCCTTATTTATCCTCAGTGGAACAGTTTCAACAGGAGAAGATTGAGTGAGTCCCATAGCTCAGTGGTTAGAGCACTTTCCTGAGTAGTGGGAGACCCCTGTTCAGATCCTTTCTCCCCTCTGCTGGGGGCGGGGGAGGGATTCAACCTAGATCTCCCACATCCAAGGTGAGTGCTCTAACACTGAGATAAAAGTTATGAGGTGTGTACCACCACCCTACTCTCTGGCTTCCTGTGTGGAGTTAGGTGCCTGTTTAAGTCATTCTCCTAAGAAACACTGTAGGCACCCAAGCTGCCTAACTCCAAGAATGCTGGCTTTTTGTGAATTGCCATCTGAGCCACTTGTCTCTCCCCATTCATTATATAGGGAATCTAGGCACCTAACTCAGGTTTTATCAATCAGTGTTGTTCCTGTTTTCCAGGCACCCAAAAAGTTAGGCGTTGTTACGCTGAGCATCACAATGCCTGAGCCCCTTTGTGATTCTAGGTCTTCGTTACCAGTGTGATTTAACTATCACTGTGTGACTGATGGGCAGAGTCCTATTATCTCCACCATAAATCTGAGCAACATCTCTCTTGCCCTCTGAGGGATAATCTACACTAGAAGCACTACAATGGTGCAGCTGCTCTGATGCAGCTGTGCCACTGTAGCACGTCTGGTGAACATGCTCTAGGCCAAAGGGAGAGCGCTCTCCCATTGGCATAATAAAACCAACTTCACAGGAGGCGGTAGCTGTGTGGACGGGAGAAGCTCTTCCATCGACATAGCACTGTCCACAGTGGCACTTAGGTCAGTGTAACTTGTGTCTCTTAGGGGGTGGTTTATTCACACCTCTGAGCGACATAAGTTATGTCACCATAACCTGTAGTGTAGATAAGCCCTGAGTCAGTTTTACTCTCTTTCTGCTCAGAATATGTTACATGCAGGAATTAGAGATACAGGCATCAACCGTTACTGTTGCTTAGGTTCTCAAGGGTGGTTGGAAGGGTACTCTTTAGGTTAAAACACCATTCCTTTCCTTTGACTGTCAGTTGGTGGTGGATTGCCTGAGAATTTTACTTTAACGTCGTCTTCATTGCAGGTGACTCTTTCCTCACTTGCGGCTGTTAAGTATGTGCCTATCTTTCCTAAGAGGCTCAGTTGCAGAATACTACCGATTTCCAAATATAGCCATTATGTAACATTGCTTTCGCTGCTTTCTCTGCTGTTTGAACGGTATTGTATGTAGAGTTGCTCTGTAATTTATGAATACTGTATGTTGACCTGGATACTGGGATGTTTACTGTATGAACATATTGGTTTAGTCTGTAAGAAAACAAGCAGGAAGGACACAATGTCTTAAGATGAGCCACTTCATGGTAAACACTAAAGGTTTGTTATGGGACAATTGGAGAGCCCCCCATGGCGCTGAGGCTGATGGCTTGGCCTGTTATGGAGCCTTGCAAACCTTTTTTTGCCACACAGATCCAATGGTGGGAATTGGAAGATCAAAAGGATTATAGCAGTTAAAAAGACTGTGTCTGTTTTAGAGCGGGATTTGGTTGTTGGAGAGCTGGTCATACTGAGACAGGCACTCGGGTGTCTGAAGATGTACCTGCCATCATAGGATGATTGAGCTTTAGGAAGATAGGAAGGGTGTGTGTGTACTTTTGCTTTAAACTCCCTTTTCTCTCATGTTATGCTTTGTTCCTACTGTTAAACAGTGCTTTGGTTTTAAGAAGGTTGTCTGTGATCAGTAATGACCAGACTCTTGAGGAAAAGAACAGCAGGTGGTGAACTCCATAGGACCTGCTGGTGAGCGTAGTTGACATAGAGTACTGTAGCCCCAGGTCTGGTCTAAGAGAGGGAGAATTGCTGCTTTCTACCCTAGGAGATGTAAAGCCATATGGCCTGATGCCTAAGGGAGTGCATTCACAGTCCAGAGAAGGGAAAAAGGTGCAGCTTAACCTGTAACTATGACATGGACCATCAACAGCAAGAAGGAACAAATGGAAAGAGTAGCATTGGAGGAAATCTGTACCAGGTTTCCTAGGGGATGAGATTGGTAACACAAAAACTGTTGGCACTTGTCCTATGGCAGAAAATAAGAAAATCAGCATAAACTCCTGATTTCAGGAGCATTATGTAGCAGCACCTATGAGAGTGTCTAAAGATGAAACCTGAGACTTGTGTAAAATGTCAGTTTTTCTTCTGCCAAAAATACAGCTTTTTGCTGTGCACATGGCAGAATTTTACAATGTGAATCACTTTTGGAATTGTTACTATTTGCAATGAGACATGGGGGGAATTTTTTGTGTGAGATTGTTGTGGTTTTGTTTTGTGTTTGGAGTCTGGTCTTTTTTGAGAAGTGAAGTAAATCCACATAATGTTGTGCAGTTTAAAGAAAGTGTAGCATTCTTACCACTGTCTTTTATGATTGAATTATTTATCAGTCAGTCTTTATTTTGCCAAGCAACTGCATTTTTCTACCCAATTTAATATCAGTCATTGATAAGTACACTTTTTCAGTAGTTATCTGTTACAGATATGCTCTGGCACTTAATATTGCATTTTGGACTCTTCATAAGATATAAAATTGGTCTTGTATGCATCTTGTCTTGTGGCTCTTAAAATGTTTTCAATTAAAAACTATAACTTAATGTCACTGTATTCTGTAGTCATAGTGTGAAAGCATCTTAACCTCCTCATGTCAACATTCCCCCTGCCGACCAGCAGTGTGTCAGCCTCTGCACTGCTGTGAGCCTAATGACTAGGATAGAAATGAGCAATGTCTTTTTAAGGTCAATTTAGTATTTATGAAAGATGCCAGATTGACTACCCCAGAGACAGAAGTTCTTTATAAAGAACTAGGCTATTAGATCATCATGAGTAAAGCTCATTGTGGGTCGTGCTGCTGTGGATGGTTATGGAATCCATGACTGTTACTTTATTAAAGGGTGGAGGGGAGTAAATAGCATGCCCAAGGGACATTAGACAAATGTGGCATGCTATGGCTAATGAATGAGGCTGAAAATGATCTTTTAAGGAGCACAGTCGGTTTTCAGTCAGATGTGTCATAGCGTGGAGCTGATTACCCCTGCGTCTTGAGCCTCTCTGGAAGTCGCAGTTGCCAAGATCTCTGCTTCTTTCTATCAGACTTCCTGTTTCTGTCTCTTCCATATCTGCAGCCCCACAGGAAAGGAGTCGCTATAGTAACTGTCCTGTTATATTTCTGTGACTTTTCTGATTTACCAAAATTGTGACTCGGTAACTTTGTTTATTCTTCCTGTGATTTTTTTTCAAGGTTTTTCCCACAAAGAACTCATCTGGTCACCTGGCTTGTGAATTTATGGGCCAATGTGTTTGTGAAAAATGAGACTGTGATTGCAAATAAAATGAATCCTTGTAGCTGTGATCTGGCTTCAGATGAAGGATACACGGATTTAGAAGTATCAAGTGTTAGTGATCAGTAGTGCAGTGCTAAAATGAAATTGTGGTACCTCAGGCCTAAACTCTTATGGTCTTGAGATATCGGTTGTGTGACCTCCATTTACTACTTCCTTTTCTATTCTTTGTGCATTTCTACTGATTTTTAACATCTCTACAAAAGAAGAAAAGGAGAATTGCTCCAGCACAAAAACTCAGGCTTTAAAGTGAAATTGACCAGACCTGTGCGAAACTGAAAAAATGGACTAGCAAACATTGACTCAAGGTCTTCTGTGTGAGTTTGTAATCCTATCCAACCCTGTCATTGTTAGTGCTGCCTTTCTGTGAATATCAGTTAATGCTAAAGGTGCATTCCAGGAATAGGCTGCCAGGTTTTTACCTTTGTAGTGGTCCTACAGACACTACAAATTGTTAGTTTCAGTTATGAGTTTTTCCTTCTCTACATTAATAACTTCAGTTTTTACTAAGAATATTTCTCTTCCCCAGCAGGGAGAATTAAAATTCACTGTCATCTGTTTATAACAGATCTCTAGCTGTACTCATTATTTTCTTGTTGTGATCTTCTGTGGGTGGGCCAGTGAACTCTGCTGGCCAAGTAGAAGCTTTGACCCAAATTAAGGGCTATATACAAACCCCACTGAAGTTAACAAGAGCCTTTCCATTAACTTAAAAAGGCGTTGGATCAATTCAAATGATACAGGGATTTAACAGTTAGGGAAGTGCTGCAACACAATGTTGAAATACAGCCTTTCTGGAGACTGTCAAATAGCTCTTGGGTGTTGAGTGTGGACAAGCCCTTTATGGAGAAATTAGCTGTAGATAAGGTAGCTTCTCCTCCCTCCTCCCCCTTTTTGGTGCATTAAGATTATCTGTAGCTGAAGAAACCAGCTCACTTTAAAAAAAAAAAAACTACTGCAATGAGTCTCAAAACATCTGGAAGTTAAGACTCTGAAATTTATAGCTTCTCTAATGATCAGCAAGCATTCCTAGTAGAATTAGTATGAAGTTGGTGGGAAATAGGGTAAGATAACATGTTCAAGAGACATTACTAAGATTTGTACCCTTTGTCCATGAATTGCCAAGAAAAACAGTTGTAAAATGAAATGTTAATTTTGTGGTGCCTCTTGGTAGAGTTAGGGTCCTAGGATGTGAAATTACTGTAAATTTGCCTTTAGACTGAGTCATAGAATCACAGAAGCAGCCAAGCCACAGGATCATCTATAGCTTACAGAAAAGGAAAATTCTGAAGTGGAATATGTGAAAATAAGTATGTGCAGACACAACTCAAAAGAGTCTAAGAATATACAGAATTAGGTCATTACTATAAGCATAAAAATGCCTCCTCTTTAGGAAAGGCACTTTTCTATTCTTCACAAGGGACCAGACCAGAATGCTAATGTAACAAAAACAGATAAGTGTTTTGAATTAGCATTTTAGTTTGTTTCCTTGTGCTTGGAGACTAAATGAGCTCTTTTGTAAGGAGCAGATACACTTCTATATTTGAATATATGAAATGCAGTAGGAATAACAACCAGTTATTTCTGTATATCCTAACATATTTTTGGTAACATTGTGTGTACCTCGGATGTCTCCTTTTCAGAGGTGTGATAGTCATTCTTCTAAATCAATTGAATTTCTGTCAACCAGAATAAAAGACTTTTCCTGTGTGAAATCTCAACATGCAAAATTCCAGGATGTAGAAAGTCAGCCTTTAAACAAGGTCATGCTCAAAATACCATATTTTCCAGATGATCTTGTTATACCTTAGTTTTCTGCAGGTATTTAAAAAATGTCGTTTTCAAGTTCAGTGACTTAATTTTCCAATGTTGTGATGCTTTCTGCACCTTCACCCATCTCTAGAATTATATAGTGCAGGCCATCACTCTCCACTTAAAGCACAGGGCTTGGAAAAACTACCTGCAAGTCTGAAACTGATGTGAAAGGCTTACTAATAGGATCTGGGAGCGGTACCTTCATGAGAAACTGAGCACAATCATCCTCAGTCTCCTGGGAAGCGGTACTGAGTGCCCATCAGGGTGCCATCCCTGCACCCAGCATGAGGAATTTGTATTTCATATCAGGGATGACTAGCAAAAATATGTAACTTTGTTCTCCCGTCACCCTGCCTTCCTGGGACAGAGTTCTCCAAATCTTTATCCCTCGGTGGGACAGGACTTCAAAGGATCCCACTTGTTGATCTCTCTTCTCCTTTTTGGGGGGAGAGGAAGCAAGATGAGCAACATGCTTACCTCTGCTGTTGCTGCCAGAGACAGTTGTGAGCAGTAGTAGTGACAAAAAACTCAATCCTTTAGCTCGTTCAGGCAGGTGAGGAAAAAGACTCCAATCTCTTTCAGTCCTTTACACAGGACAAGATTCTAAAGGAGCAGTGGAGTGAGGATGAGAAGACGTGATGAGAGAAGTTTGGGTTTCTGGCTATCCGACTTAGTCCTGTGCTTAGTAGGTGTCTAGTAAACCTTTCTAGTTTTTTATCCAGTACAAAATTCTTTTTAAAGGCAATATATGTAAAAGGTGAGATTCTTACAGTAACATTAGTTTGACCTCTATGCATATAGATAATATTTTCTATTATATTAAATCTGCAAATTTAAATGTATACCATTTAAAAAGTACCCAGTGTCCAAAATGGCTGAGTTGGCATTGCTGTAGAAACACAAATATTTATATTTTCTGCCTCTTCATTTTAACTTTGCAACCTGATATGTTGCATGTAATTTCTCTTTTTTAAGGAGAGGGGCAATAGTGATGGAAAAGTTGCCTGTTAACATTGGCATTTACAGGGATATAATTAAATGTGGCTTTTCACATCACACATAAATAGGGTAAGGATGCAATTAAATGGCAGCAACATGTGATGGATGTAAGACCTATGTCTTGGCAAAAGCCTTTACCTTCTAGTAACAACCTAAGAATTGGTATTGTTTTTCATGGTCAGGTGGCATTGAGGAGGAGGTGGGAAACAGATTAGAGGGGAAAGAATTGAGTGGAGGCATCTGACTAAAGGAATGCAGGTGAAGTTTCCTTTATAGACCAACGTGGTGCAGTCTGTATGCAGTCTTAATGCACTGCATTAGAAATAAGTAAGATAGATTGATTATTGTTCCAACTGTAGCGGTACTTCTTACCAGAGTGCTTCATAAAACAGGGGTTTGTTATGTACATAGAGAAGGTGCTAGTAGATGTGGCTCAAGAATATGCAGTGTTTGTACTTGTACACTGCAGGTGGGTTTGTGTTAGCTCTTCACATGAAGATCTTAACAATGCTGACCATTGTCATATATATATATCTGGCCACAATAGATAGAAGCTTCCTTCACAAATAGTTCAACCGATCATACTTTTATTTCACCCATTACTGTCCTATCTATGTACCTCACAATCTTTCTACTGTATTTTTCCCTCTTCTCACCTCTGTGAGCCAGGGAAGTACTACTATCCCAGAGAAATGGGGGAACTGAGGCACAGAGAGACCAAGCGACTTGCCCCAAGATCAGACAGGGAGTCTTCCACAGAACAGGGAATTGAACCCAAGTCTACAGAGGCCCAGGCTAGTGCTGTAGCTCCTGGGCTATCCTTTCCTACTCAACAATGATGAGTTCACTACTAGCTATTTCAAGTCTGTCTTGAAATAGACTAGCTTAGCAGAATACAATTTTTTTGTTTTTGGTAATTTTGATGGATAATATAGATGTTTATTTTTAAACTTTTTTTTTTAAACTTCCATAATTGTAGGACATTATGGGGGGCGTCAGTCAAATTAATGACATTTGTTGTGATTCAGAACGTTAATGCTTTTGAGTTAACTGTTAAAACACCATTTGTCAACCTCACGTGGCAAAATCTACAAAGTAAATATCCTTAAATCAAACTCTGATTTCTCAAGCAGCATTTGTCTAACTTTGCCTGTCTGTTAATTTTGATTATCATTGATGGAAATATTTTTTCAGTTTGTGTGTGTGAGTGAAATTGACATTTGCTGATTAAATGGCTAATCCTTACAAGCCTGTTTATAGATCACACTTTATCAAAGGATTTTATAGCGAGTTGCAAATGTTAACCCATTTTAAGCTAGACACTAAATGACTGACCAAGCTTCCCTCAGTTGACAGCTCCAGCTATTTGCCAATACCCAATGACAGTTGGTTCAGCCCATTAACCCGTGACCCTCTTGTAATTGCCAGTGACTTGACTCTTTCCCTTGCCCTTGAGGCACTTCGTTACAGGCACTTCCTCATTTTCCCCAAAGGCATAACAATAACCTAGATGTTCTCATCACTTTCCTTTTAATGATTAAAGTTTTCATTCATAGATTGAAAATGATGCCTAATGTTTGTAGTATTACTTTCTTTCCCCACTTATATACTCATATAAATGCTTCAGAAGACCGAAGTGCAAACATTAACCCCTGTGCTCCAAATCCCACAGGTTGTGGGATTTAGACTCTTTATTTTTTCCCCTGGAAAAGAATTATTGTTCCTCAAGCCCCTTTCAATCCCCAAAAACTGATTGCCATGTTGACTGAATTATTGGCACTCTGCCTGTGACTCAAAGATCATGAAATGCTGCCATTGCTGCGATAGTCACAGTTCTGGCTGGGAAAGCCAGCTAGTATAGTGAAGGAGACCCAGGATTGGCATTACAGAATCTGTTTTGATTCAGCTACAGCCTGATCTTTACTTGTTGTAAATAGACTAAGCCTGAGAGTGCCAGTTTTGCCAGGTTCAGGTGTCTACAGCTTCCACTGAACTAATGCCTTTCTGTATACAATACTTAGATTTTTTTTTTTTTTAATACTTATGTTTTAAGGGAACCTAAAATTCATTAGCCAGCAAATGATGTGTTTCTAATGCTTACTTTGCAGTAAAATTCAGAAGGAAATGGGAAAGGACCATTTATAAAATCAATATAATTTTCTACTAAAGAAAGGTTGGATGTCACTGTTACATCACTCCATGTCCTGGTTTTGTACTGCAGACTGGCTTTTTCTTTCTGCGTTGACTGACCACATCTGGACCCTGGTCAATAGTTTGAGGACACATCTGTTATTAATCACTTTTATAGAAGTGGTTGTATTTATGTAATATTTTATTAGTAAAATGTTCTAGACATTTTTCATTCATTTTCCCTTCTTAAGGACTTACTGGGTTTAATTACTTGAAATTACTTTGTTATAGATGTTTGTTTATATATTTTTGTATTAAATTGTTCAGTAATGACACATTCAAAAAATGTCTGTATTTGATAGCTTTTGCCTTTGATTCATCTTGTTTAGGTCTTCCTTCAACCTCTCTAGTTTGTTCCTTAGTTAAATATTGTTAGGCATTGATTCTGGCAACAGGAAGTGGCTAACTACAGGATTCCTCATATACATGTACACTTCAATCAGACCACTCCTGTTCATGAAGTTCAGCACGTGCACAATCAGGGGGCCGTAGTCTCTTACTTGAAACTCTGGGTGGCTTGATGCTCTAGTCTAGAGTTGGTACAACAGGCATATTTGAAATCCCAGGTGATATTATGTGTAGTAGAAGTGTGGTCTGTGCACAGAATTGAGATGGAAGAATTCCAGGCTTTGGCTCTGGTTCCGACTTTGTGCCCTTGGGCAAGTCACTTAATCTTTCAGCCATACTTATCACACTTGGGAATTAGGTGTAACAGTGTACATAGATGCATATTTTATCAGTGCATGACACTTACCACAAAGTGTCATCTGAGAACAGATTTACTTGATATTGTAGCAACAGAGAAATAGTGTGGAATCTGTATGGTAGGGTTGGATAAATATTGACTTAATAGTTACTGCCACTGTACATCAAACATGTGCAGGATGTGGTGTGGCATAATGACTTGATTGGTGAGAGTTTGGGAAGACTGCATCTCTGGCAGATACTAAAATTGTGGGTCATTCCAGTCATCACAAATAATGTAATGGTGTAACCATTTTCCCCCCTGCAATCTTTTCTTTTAATTATTTACATAGTAAAACTAAATTGATATTCAAGTCTGGATACTCAGGTGAATTTCCACTAAAGTGCCCCAGAGAACAGTTTCACAATGTGGTCGAGGGAAGTGCAGTTAATAGCTCTTTTTTGGTGATGTCGGGGAGCCCTGATGTTGCTATCTGAAAACAGGACTAAGAACTCCCTTTAATGCTCTTGGGAGACACAAGTCTTGAATTGAAAGTCCTAACATTTGTCTTTCTAGATTCCCTGCAGTAGGGAAGAGGCTTACTTAGGATAGAATCTTTTGAGCACATGATGAGAATTGTGGGGAGCTCCTACAACTCATGTATGCCCAGAGAAAGGAGGTCAGACCTATTGGGATGACTGATGTGCTCACATTTGTCTCTCTCTCTCTTTCTTCTCCAAAGACAGAGGGTGGAAAAGTCTTGCGAAAATTAAAAGGAAGAACAAAGGAGGAATGCCTGATTCTTGCACAGATTGCAGCATACCTGAATGCCCCCAAGACAGAGTCAGCCCAAGATTCCAAAAAATGGATGTCCATAACTTACGATATAGTGAGTTTCCTTTATTTTTTGCAAGAGTGCTTTTCAAAAGCATGAACAATAATTTACTTGCCTTAGTAGCTGAGTTAATACATATTCACTTTTATTTCCTATTTGTTCTGTGTTTTGGGTTTTTTTCCCCCCCCCTCTCCTTTCCTCCTCTTCTCCCCCCCCTCCCCCCCGTAACCTTAATGGTATGATGGAAATACTCTTTGGTTGCATTGTGTTTAAGGGTGTATCCTTTGGGACACTATTCATTAAAGAGAATCCATCCCTTATATGTGGAAGAATCAATCCCAATGTTCATTTCAGAACAAGTTTGTTTTGGTTTCCCAATCATGGTGACAGTGTAATTGGCTCTTTTCTGCCTTTCTCTCATTTGTCCCCATCTGATCATATTTAGTCACAGGGTTTCATTTGCTACCTACATGCAAAGAATTTGCAGATCTGCCTTTCCACCCTACTCTCTCTTCATCAGAGTCTGATTGATTCTCTGATATCTCTTCTGGGATGTTATGCTGCCAACGTAAACTTAACATGTTAAATACTGAATGCCGTCTCTTCTCAGACTCTTCCCCCTCCTCCTTTTACTCACGGTTTGCTATTCCACTCTCCTTCCTGTCCCTCAGTATTCAAAGATGCTTCCATTGTTTACTTCTGTCCTTTCCTCCCTGTCGCCCCAGTTTCCCCCCCCCCCCCCCAATGCTGTATCCTGCTGGTGTATTCTTTCCAATACATCTCAAAAATCTATTTTCTCTTTCTGTTCTCTTTGCTTGTCGTTGCTTTTAAAATCCTTCACAACTTATCTTGTTCTCTGCTTCCTCTGTCGTCTTCTGGTCCCCACTTGCCCCCTTTACTTCATCCTACACCACAGATGACAATCCCTTCACGTTCTTCACTCTTGCCAGTGGCTTCTTCCATGAATCATTTCTCCCTCTTGTTCCTCCATGCCCTTCCCGCCCCCCACCTTGAATTCTCTCCTTCACCTGGTCTTTTCTGCATTCACATTCTCTTCAAAGTCCCTCCTTAGCACATTTTGTACAAAAGGTCTCTAAACTCTAGTTCTCTTCCCCCAAAGAAATGTTGACTGCCCAAGCTACCACATCATGGCAAAAAAAAATAAACCCTCCTAGTAAATATCATGGAACCTGTGTGTGCAACTCACTCAGAAGTTGGAATATCTTACTACCTGTTGCTGGTTTTTTTCTTAACTTTTACCTATTCATTTTGTGTTGAAACACAAAGTTCTTTGGGGCCACACTCTTGTGTCTCACTATTCTATGGAGTGTCTAGCACACTGTTGTTAGGGCTGTCAAAATAATAGCTGAGGTATTGGCCAAGGATAAATCTGAGTCAGTTGGGGAATGCATAAAGCCTATTCAAATGAATATAAATTGCACTTGTAGATAAGAGAAAGCACAAGTAATTTAAAGCCCCGCCTCAACTCCGCCCCTTCCCTGCCTCCTCCCCCCAGGCTCTCAAGCCTAGGAGGGAGGGGGAGAAGCGGCACCCGCGCCGCGGCCACTCAGAGTCTCCCCCTCCCTCCCAGGTTTGAGAGCCTGGGAGGGAGGGGGAGACTCCGAGT